GGATTAATATGGGGTGATTAATTGGAGGGTTTAAGTGAGGGTTAATTATGGGGAGTTAATGGGGGGGTTAATGTGGGGGGATTAATTGGGGGTTAGTCAATGGGGGGGTTAATGAGGGGTTAATGTGGGGGGATTAACTGGGGGTTAATTATGGGGGGTTAATCCATGGGGGTTTTAATTGGGGGTTAATTATGGGGGGATTAATCAATGGTGGGGTTTAATGAGGGGTTAATGTGGGGGGATTAATTGAGGGGTTAATTATGGGGGGGTTAATCAATGGGGGGATTTAATGAGGCGTTAATGTGGGGGGTTTAATTGAGGGTTAATTATGGGGGGGTTAATCAATGGGGGGGTTTAATTGGGGGTTAATTATGGGGGGGTTAATCAATGGTAGGGTTTAATGAGATGTTAATGGGGGATTAATTGGGGGTTAATTATGGGGGGTTAATCAATGGGGGTGTTTAATTGGGGGTTAGTTATGGGGGGGTTAATCAATGGTGGGGTTTAATGAGATGTTAATGGGGGGGATTAATTGGGGGTTAATTATGGGGGGGTTAATCAATGGGGGTGTTTAATTGGGGGTTAGTTATCGGGGGTTAATCAATGGTGGGGTTTAATGAGGGGTTAATGTGGGGGGGTTAATTGGGGGTTAATTATGGGGGCGTTAATCAATGGGGTGTTTAATGAGGGGTTAATGTGGGGGTATTAACTGGGGGTTAATTATGGGGGGTTAATCAATGGTGGGGTTTAATGAGGGGTTAATGTGGGGGGATTAATTGAGGGGTTAATTATGGGGGGGTTAATCAATGGTGGGCTTTAATGAGATGTTAATGGGGGGATTAATTGGGGGTTAATTATGGGGGGATTAATCAATGGTGGGGTTTAATGAGGGGTTAATGTGGGGGGATTAATTGGGGGGTTAATTATGGGGGGTTAATCAATGGGGGGGTTTAATTGGGGGTTAATTATGGGGGGGTTAATCAATGGGGGGGTTAATGAGATGTTAATGGAGGGGGTTAATTATGGGGGGGTTAATGAGGGGTTAATGTGGGGGTTTTAATTGGGGGTTAATTATGGGGGTATTAATGGTTGGGTTTAATGAGGGGTTAATATGGGGGGTTTAATTGGGGGTTAATTATGGGGGGATTAATCAATGGTGGGGTTTAATGAGGGGTTAATGTGGGGGGATTAATTGGGGGGTTAATTATGGGGGGTTAATCAATGGTGGGGTTTAATGAGGGGTTAATGTGGGGGGATTAACTGGGGGTTAATTATGGGGGGATTAATCAATGGTGGGGTTTAATGAGGGGTTAATATGGGGGATTTAATTGGGGGTTTAATTATGGGGGCGTTAATCAATGGGGGGTTTAATGAGGGGTTAATGTGGGGGGATTAATTGAGGTGTTAATTATGGGGGGGTTAATCAATGGGGGTGTTTAATTGGGGGTTAGTTATGGGGGGTTAATCAATGGTGGGGTTTAATGAGGGGTTAATGTGGGGGGATTAATTGAGGGGTTAAGTATGGGGGCGTTAATGGTGGCGTTTAATGAGGGGTTAATGTGGGGGGATTAACTGGGGGTTAATTATGGGGGGTTAATCAATGGGGGGTTAATGAGGGGTTAATGGGGGTTTAATTGGGGGTTAATTATGGGGGATTAATCAATGGTGGGGTTTAATGAGGGGTTAATGGGGGGGTTAATTGGGGGTTAATTATGGGGGGGTTAATCAATGGTGGGGTTTAATGAGGGGTTAATGTGGGGGGGTTAATTATGGGGGGGTTAATGTGGGGGGATTAATTGGGGGGTTAATTATGGGGGGGTTAATCAATGGTGGGGTTTAATGAGGGGTTAATATGGTTGCTTTAATTGGGGGTTTAATTATGGGGGGGGTTAATCAATGGGGGGGTTCAATGAGGTGGGAAACTTGGGGTTCACATTGGGGGCCCCTCCATTGGGGCATCCATTGGGGGGGGGTCAGTCCCTAATAGGGGGATGCTGCCCCCCCCAATGACACCCCCCCCACCCCCCCCTTTAGGTCTGCATCACTCGAGGGGTTGAATGGACCCCCCCCCCCCCATTGAATAAATGGAACCTTCCAACCTGCGTCCGTGCTTATGGGGCTGGGGGGGACGGGACACGACGACATCAGCGCGCGATGGGGGTGTCCCCATCTGCCCCGCCCCCTTTATTAGGGGCGTGGAGGAGGAAGAGGAGGCGGAGCCAGCGGCTGAAGAGGAGGCGGGGACTCCGAGGGGGCGGGGCCAGGAGCTGCACGAGGAAGCAGCGCCCCGAGGCCAGGAGCACCCGGAGCCGGTGCCGACGGCGGCTCCAGAGCGAGAGGCGGACGGCGGCGAGCGGGAAGAGCCTGCGGAGAGAGGGGGGGGCATTGGGGTGCATTGGGACCCATTGGGGTGCATTGGGACCCATTGGGGTGCATTGGGATCCATTGGGATCCATTGAAGTGCATTGGGGTGCATTGGGGTGCATTGGGGTCCATTGGGACCCATTGGGGTGCATTGGGGTCTATTGGGATCCATTGGGGTGCATAGGGGTCTATTGGGGTGCATTGGGGTCCATTAGGGTCCATTGGGGTGCATAGGGACACATTGGGATCCATTGAGGTGCATTGGGGTCCATTGGGGTGCATAGGGACCCATTGGGGTGCATTGAGGTGCATTGGGGTGGATTGGGGTCCGTTGGGGTGCATAAGGACCCATTGGGATCCATTGGGGTCCACTGGGATCCATTGAGGTGCATTGGGATCCATTGAGGTGCATTGGGGTGCATTGGGGTCCATTGGGGTGCATTGGGACCCATTGGGGTGCATTGGGGTGCATTGGGGTCCATTGGGGTGCATTGGGACCCATTGGGGTGCATTGGGACCCATTGGGGTGCATTGGGACCCATTGGGGTGCATTGGGGTGCATTGGGATGTATTGGGGTGCATTGGGATGTATTGGGGTGCATGGGGTGTATTGGGGTGCATTGGGGTGCATTGGGACCCATTGGGATCCATTGGGGTGCATCGGGATCCATTGGGATCCATTGAGGTGCATTGGGGTCCATTGGGGAGCCATTGGGATCCATTGAGGTGCATTGGGGTCCATTGGGATCCATTGAGGTGCACTGGGGTCCATTGGGACCCATTGGGGTGCATTGAAGTGCATAGGGACCCATTGGGGTGCATAGGGACCCATTGGGGTGCATTGAGGTGCACTGGGGTCCATTGGGACCCATTGGGGTGCATTGAGGTGCATTGGGACCCATTGGGGTGCATAGGGACACATTGGGATCCATTGAGGTGCATTGGGGTCTATTGGGGTGCATTGGGATCCATTGGGGTCCATTGGGGTGCATAGGGACCCATTGGGATCCATTGAAGTGCATAGGGACCCATTGGGGTGCATAGGGACCCATTGGGGTGCATTGAGGTGCATTGGGGTCCATTGGGATCCATTGGGGTGCATTGGGACCCATTGGGATCCATTGAGGTGCATTGGGATCCATTGAGGTGCATTGGGGTCCATTGGGGTGCATTGGGGTGCATAGGGACCCATTGAGGTGCATTGGGGTGCATTGGGGTGCATAGGGACCCATTGGGATCCATTGAAGTGCATTGGGGTGCATAGGGGTCTATTGGGGTCCATTGGGACCCATTGGGATCCATTAAGGTGCATTGGGGTCCATTGGGGTGCATTGGGGTCTATTGGGGTCCATAGGGACCCATTGGGATCCATTGAGGTGCATTGGGGTCCATTGGGATCCATTGAGGTGCATTGGGATCCATCAGGATCCATTGGGGTGCATCGGGATCCATTGGGGTCCATCGGGATCCAACTGGGATCCATTGGGGTGCATCGGGATCCATTTGGGATACAGCTGGGATCCATTTGGGATCTATTGGGGTGCATTGGGATCCAACTGGGATCCATTGTTGTGCATTGGGATCCCTTGAGATCCAACTGGGATCTATCGGGGTGCATCGGGATCCATTGGGATCCATCGGGATGCATCGGGATGCATCGGGATGCACCGGGACCCACCCGGATCCATTGGGATGCACCGGGATGCACCAGGACCCATTGGGATCCACCAGGATCCACCGGGATGCATTGGGATGCACTGGGATGCATCGGGATCCATTGGGATCCATGGGGATGCACCGGGACCCATCGGGACGCACCGGGATGCATCGGGACCCATTGGGATCCACCAGGATCCACCGGGATGCACCGGGATCCATCGGGATGCACCGGGATCCATCGGGACGCATGGACAGGGACGCACCCCAAGAGCTGCAGCTCCTCGGGGTCCTGCGGGGAGGGAGGCAGCGGCCGGGCCAGGAGCAGGAGGTCGGGGGCAGGGAGCTGAGGGCAGGAGGCGGCGATGGCCACGGTGAGGGGCCCGGCGGGGTCCCCGGTGCGGGTCACCTGCGGGGACAGAGCGGGGCATGGCGTGGGGTACAGGGGTACAGCGATGGGAGGTGGGGTACAGGGGGTACAGCGATGGGAGGTGGGGTATGGATGGGGTACAGCGATGGGAGGTGGGGTATGGATGGGGTATAGGGGGTACAGCGATGGGAGGTGGGGTATGGGGGGGATATAGTGATGGGAAGTGGGGTATAGGGGATATAGTGATGGGAGGTGGGGTATGGGGTGGGGTATAGGGGATATAGTGATGGGAAGTGGGGTATAGGGGATATAGTGATGGGAGGTGGGGTATAGGGTGGGGTATAGGGGATACAGTGATGGGAGGTGGGGTATGGGGGGGATATAGGGGATATAGTGATGGGAGGTGGGGTATAGGGGATATAGTGATGGGAGGTGGGATATAGGGGATATAGTGATGGGAGGTGGGATATAGGGGATATAGTGATGGGAGGTGGGGTATAGGGGATATAGTGATGGGAGGTGGGGTATAGGGGATATAGTGATGGGAGGTGGGATATAGGGGATATAGTGATGGGAGGTGGGATATAGGGGATATAGTGATGGGAGGTGGGATATAGGGGATATAGTGATGGGAGGTGGGATATAGGGGATATAAGGCATCTAGCAATGATTATAGGCTATATACAGGGGTATATAAGAGGTGATATATGTGCTATATAGGGTCTATACAGGCTATATAAGCTGATATATGTGCTATACAGGATCTATACAGGCTATATAAGCTGATACATGTGCTATATAGGGTCTATAGAGGCTATATAAGGCCGATACATGCGCTATATAGAGTCTATACAGGCTATATAAGCCGATATATGTGCTATATAGGGGCTATATAAGGCCAATACATGTACTACATAGGGTCTATAGGGGCTATATAAGGCCAATACATGTGCTATATAGGGTCTATGGGTCTATATAAGGCCAATACATGTGCTATATAGGGTCTATAGGGGCTATATAAGGCCAATACATGTGCTATATAGGGTCTATGGGTCTATATAATGCCAATACATGTGCTATATAGGGTCTATGGGGCTATAGAAGGCCAATACATGTGCTATATAGGGTCTATAGGGGCTATATAAGGCCAATACATGTGCTATATAGGGTCTATAAGGTCTATATAAGGCCAATACATGTGCTATATAGGGTCTATGGGGCTATATAAGATCAATACATGCGCAATATAGGGTCTATGGGGCTATATAAGGCCAATACATGCGCTATATAGGGTCTATAGGGGCTACATAAGGCCAATACATGTGCTATATAGGGTCTATAGGGGCTATATAAGCCCAATACATGTGCTATATAGGGTCTATGGGGCTATATAAGGCCAACACATGTGCTATATAGGGTCTATAGGGGCTATATAAGGCCAATACATGTGCTATATAGGGTCTATAGGGTCTATATAATGCCAATACATGTGCTATATAGGGTCTATAGGGGCTATATAATGCCAATACATGTACTATATAGGATCTATAGGGTCTATATAAGGCCAATACATGTGCTATATAGTGTCTATGGGGCTATAGAAGGCCAATACATGTGCTATATAGGGTATATGGGGCTATATAAGGCCAATACATGTCCTATATAGGGTCTATAGGGGCTATATAAGGCCAATACATGTGCTATATAGGGTCTATAGGGGCTATATAAGGCCAATACATGTGCTATATAGGGTCTATGGGTCTATATAAGGCCAATACATGTGCTATATAGGGTCTATGGGGCTATATAAGGCCAATACATGTGCTATATAGGGTCTATAGGGTCTATATAATGCCAATACATGTGCTATATAGGGTCTATAGGGTCTATATAAGGCCAATACATGTCCTATATAGGGTCTATGGGGCTATATAAGGCCAATACATGTGCTATATACGGTCTATGGGGCTATATAATGCCAATACATGTCCTATATAGGGTCTATAGGGGCTATATAAGGCCAATACATGTGCTATATAGGGTCTATAGGGGCTATATAAGGCCAATACATGTGCTATATAGGGTCTATAGGGGCTATATAAGGCCAATACATGTGCTATATAGGGTCTATAGGGGCTATATAAGGCCAATACATGTGCTATATAGGGTCTATAGGGGCTATATAAGGCCAATACATGTGCTATATAGGGTCTATAGGGTCTATATAAGGCCAATACATGTGCTATATAGGGTCTATGGGGCTATATAAGGCCAATACATGTGCTATAGAGGGTCTATAGGGTCTATATAAGGCCAATACATGTCCTATATAGGGTCTATGGGGCACTCTCCCCTCACCTGCAGGAACTCCCCCTCCAGCAGCCGCAGCTCCCTCAGCGGCCCCAGCTCCCCTCGGGCCAGGCAGCGCCGCAGCCGGCCCATGGCGGGCGGTGGGGACCGGGGAGAAGGGGAACGATCGGGATCAGGACCCCGAAGGGATCCGGATGAGGAACCGGGAGGGATCCGGATGAGAACCGGGACCGGGATGGGGGCAGACACGGAGCTACCGGATGCTCGGGCTCCCGGCGCTGCCGCCGCTCAAGATGGCGCCCAGACGCCTCAAGATGGCGCCCGAGGCCGTTTTAAGCGCGCCCGATAAGCCACGCCCCCTTTTAAACCACGCCCCCCTTTAAACCACGCCCCCCTCCCTTGGGCCCACCCCCGGAGCCACGCCCCCACAGCCCCGTTTAAACCACGCCCCCCTTGAGCCCACTCCAGAGCCACGCCCCCACAGCCCCGTTTAAACCACGCCCCCTTTAAACCACGCCCCCTTGAGCCCACCTCCCGGAGCCACGCCCACACAGCCCCGTTTAAACCACGCCCCCTTGAGCCCACCACGGAGCCACGCCCCCACAGCCCCGTTTAAACCACGCCCCCTGTTAAACCACGCCCCCTTGAGCCCACCACGGAGCCACGCCTACACAGCCCCGTTTAAACCACGCCCCCTTTAAACCACGCCCCCCTTGAGCCCACCCCGGAGCCACGCCCCCACAGCCCCGTTTAAACCACGCCCCCCTTTTAACCACGCCCCCCCTTGAGCCCACCCTGAGCCACGCCCCCACAGCCCCCTTTTAAACCACGCCCCCTTTAAACCACGCCCCCCTTGAGCCCACCCTGAGCCACGCCCACACAGCCCCGTTTAAACCACGACCCCTTTAAACCACGCCCCCTTGAGCCCACCCCGGAGCCAGGCCCCCATAGCCCTGTTTTAGCCACGCCCCCTTTTAGCCACGCCCCCCTTTTAGTCCATCCCCGAGGTCACGCCCACCACGGCCCCGTTTAAACCACGCCCCCTTTTAACCACGCCCCCACAGCCCCGTTTAAACCACGCCCCATTTTTAAACCACCCCCCCTTTTGAGCCCACACCAGAGCCACGCCCCCACAGCCCTGTTTTAACCACGCCCCCTTTTTAGCCACGCCCCCTCTTTTGAGCCCACCCACGGAGCCACATCCCCACAGCACTGATTTAGCCACGCCCCCTTTCGACCACGCCCCCTTTTGAGCACGCCCCCACCGCCCTGTTTTAGCCACGCCCCCCTTTAACCACGCCCCCACCACCCCGTTTTAACCACGCCCCCTTTAACCACGCCCCCCCCCCCCCCCTTTTGAGCCCACCCACGGAGCCAGGCCCCCACAGCCCTGTTTAAACCACGCCCCCTTTTAGCCACGCCCCCCTTTGAGTCCCTCCCGAGGTCACGCCCACCACGGCCCCGTTTAAAACCACGCCCCCTTTTAACCACGCCCCCACAGGCCCGTTTAAACCACGCCCCCTTTTAAATCCACACCCCCCTTTTGAGCCCACACCAGAGCCACGCCCCCACAGCCCTGGTTTAGCCACGCCCATTTAAACCACGCCCCCTTCTGAGCCCACGCCCCCTTTTAGCCACGCCCCCTTTTTTTTGAGCCCACCCACGGAGCCACAACCCCGCAAGCCTGTTTTAGCCACGCCCCCTTTCAACCCCGCCCCTTTTGAGCCACGCCCCCACAGCCCTGCTTTAGCCACGCCCCCTTTAAACCACGGCCCCATTTTAGCCACGCCCCCCCTTCTGAGCTCTCCCCGGAGCCACAGCCCCGTTTTAGCCACGCCCCCCTTTAACCACGCCCCCTTTAACCACGCCCCCCTTTAACCACGCCCCCCACAACCCCGTTTTAACCACGCACCCTTTTAACCACGCCCCCCCTTTTTGAGCCACGCCCCCACAACCCCGTTTTAGCCACGCCCCCCCCTCCCTCCTTCCCGGCGTGCCCCGCGCGGCCAAGATGGCGGCCAAGATGGCGGCGGCGGCGGCGCTGTGGTTGCTGGTGGCCGCTGGAGGCGGCCGGGGGGGGGCCGGGTTGAGGGTGAGCTCATGAATATGCATGAAAAGGGGGCGGGGTTTGGGGGGGCGGGGTTTGGGGGGGTGGGGAGGCTTTTGGGGGGGTGGGGAGGGTTAATATTCATGGAGGGGGCGCGCGGTCACGTGGGCCGCCGCGTGAGGGGAGCGGGGGGGGGCTCATTAATATTAATGAGGGGAGTGGGGGGAGTAATTAGGGTTAATGGCAGGGTAAATGAGCGCTGAGTTCGTTAGTACCAGCGAAGAACTGATTACCTCATTAATATTAATGAAGTCGAACCTCATTAATATTCATGAAGATATGTATGCTAATTAGGAGGGGCCTCACGTGATTTGGTCTCATTAATGTTGACAGTGTGCGCCGAAGGTCATTAATATTAATGATTCAATGGGTTATACTCGTTGCATTAATATTAATAAGAATATTAAACCTTATTAATATTAATGAGCGAAGCTGTTTAATTGTGTATATTAATGAGGCACAGGAAAACGTACATTAACGCTTGTTATTAATAGATGTAGTAGCTTAATCATGAATATTAATGAGGCGGTGTCTGATCAAGTCATTAATATTAATGAGGGGACAGCCCACTTAGAGGAGGGGCCTGATTAATCTCATTAATATTAATGGGGGGTGTGTGTGTGTGTGTGTGTGTGATCAATTCATTAATATTAATGAGTTGATGGCCTACTTAGAGGAGAGGCCTGATTAATCTCATTAGTATTAATGGCGGGGTGTCTGATCAATTCATTAATATTAATGAGTTGACACCCTGCTTAGAGGAGGGGCCTGATTAATCTCATTAATATTAATGGAGGTGGTGTGTGTGGTGTCTGGTCAATTCATTAATATTAATGAGGTGACGGCCTGCTTAGAGGAGGGGCCTGATTAATCTCATTAATATTAATGATGGAACAGTCGGGTGTGTGTGTGTTTACTCTCATGAATATTAATGAGGGGACAGTCGGGGGGGTGGGTGGGGTTAATCTCATTAATATTAATAAGGGCACAGTCATTAATATTAATATTAATGATGGAACAGTCGGGTGTGTGTGTGTGTGTGATTAATCTCATTACTATTAACGATGGACACCCATTAGTGATTATTAGCTCGTTAATAACGGTGCCCCATGAGCTCTGCTTCTGTCATGCATATTAATGAGGGGGTAGCTCATGCATATTAATGAGGCTGTCCCCCATGCCCCTCCCCTCCGTGGCAGCCCTCGGACACCGAGCCCTGCTCCCTGCCCCTGGAGCACTCCTTTGAGCCGGGTAAGGTTTAACCCACACCCCAATATGGGGGGGTCCCATTGGCCCCCCCATTGTGCGCCCATTGTCTCCCCATTGCCTCCATTGTCTCCCCATTGTGCACCCATTGGCCCCCCATTGGCCCCCATTGTGCCCCCATTGCCCCCACTGTACCCCCATTGGCCCCATTGTACCCCCATTGGTCCTATTGTTCCCCCATTGTGCCCCCATTGTGTCCCCATTGTCTTCCCATTGTGCCCCATTGCCCCCATTGTGCCCCCATTGCCCCCATTGTGCTCTCATTGCCCCCACTGTACCCCCATTGTCCCCCCATTGCCCCCATTGTCCCCATTGCCCCCATTGCCCCCATTGTCCCCCCATTATCCCCCCATTCTCCCCCCATTGCCCCCATTACCCCATTGCCCCCCATTGCCCCCATTGCCCCCATTGCCTCAATTACCCCATTGCCCCCATTGCCTCCATTGTGCCCCCATTGTGCCCCCATTGTGTCCCCATTGTGTCCCCATTGTGCCCCCATTGTGCCCCCATTGTGTCCCCATTGTCTTCCCATTGGCCCCATTGTCTCCCCATTGTGTCCCCATTGCCCCCACTGAACCCCCATTGGCCCCATTGTACCCCCATTGGTCCTATTGTTCCCCCATTGTGCCCCCATTGTGTCCCCATTGTCTTCCCATTGGCCCCATTGTGCCCCCATTGTCTCCCCATTGCCCCCATTGTCTCCCCATTGCCCCCATTGTGCCCCCATTGCCCCCATTGTGTCCCCATTGTGCCCCCATTGCCCCCATTGTGCCCCCATTGCCCCCACTGTTCCCCCATTGGCCCCAGTGTCCCCCCATTGTGCCCCCATTGTCTCCCCATTGCCTCCATTGTGTCCCCATTGTGTCCCCATTGCCCCCATTGTGTCCCCATTGCCCCCATTGTGCACCCATTGTGCCCATTGTGCACCCATTATCCCCATTGTGCCCCCATTGTGTCCCCATTGTGTCCCCATTGCCCCCATTGCCCCCATTATCCCCATTGTGCCCCCATTGCCCCCATTATCCCCATTGTCCCCCCATTGTGCCCCCATTACCCCCTTTATCCCCTTTATCCCCATTGTCCCCCCATTGTGCCCCCATTACCCCCATTATCCCCATTGTGCCCCCATTGTGCCCCCATTACCCCCATTATCCCCATTGTCCCCCCATTGTGCCCCCATTGCCCCCATTATCCCCATTGTCCCCCCATTGTGCCCCCATTACCCCCTTTATCCCCATTGTCCCCCCATTGTGCCCCCATTACCCCCATTATCCCCATTGTGCCCCCATTGTGCCCCCATTACCCCCTTTATCCCCATTGTCCCCCCATTGTGCCCCCATTACCCCCATTATCCCCATTGTGCCCCCATTGTCTCCCCATTGCCCCCATTATCCCCATTGTCCCCCCATTGTGCCCCCATTGCCCCCATTATCCCCATTGTCCCCCCATTGTGCCCCCATTACCCCCATTATCCCCATTGTGCCCCCATTACCCCCATTGCCCCCATTATCCCCATTGTACCCCCATTGCCCCCATTGTGCCCCCATTACCCCCATTATCCCCATTGTACCCCCATTGTCCCCATTGTCTCTATTCTCCCCATTGTGCCCCCATTACCCCCATTATCCCCATTGTACCCCCATTGTCCCCCCATTACCCCCATTGCCCCCCATTATCCCCATTGTACCCCCATTGTCCCCCCATTGTGCCCCCATTACCCCCATTATCCCCATTATCCCCATTGTGCCCCCATTATCCCCATTGTTTCCCCATTACCCCCATTGTCCCCCCATTGTCCCCCCATTGCCATTATCCCCATTGTGCCCCCATTGTGGCCCCCTTGCCCCCATTGTCCCCTCATTATCCCCATTGTGCCCCCCTTATCCCCATTGTCCCCATTGTCCCCCCCTGTGCCCCCATTATCCCCATTGTTTCCCTATTACCCCCATTGCCCCCATTGTACCCCCATTGCCCCCATTGTGCCCCCATTACCCCCATTGCCCCCATTACCCCCATTGTGTCCCTATTACCCCCATTATGCCCCCATTGTCCCCATTGCCCCCCATTGTCCCCCCATTGCCTCATTGTCCCCTGTTGTGCCCCCATTACTCCCATTGCCCCCATTGTCACCGCATTATCCACATTGTACCCCCATTGTGCCCCCATTGTGCCTATATTGCCCCTATTTTGCCCCCATTATCCCCATTGTCCCCCCATTATCCCCATTACCCCCATTGCCCCCATTGTCCGCATTACCCCCATTGTCCCTTCCATTGCCCCCATTGTCCCCCCATTACCCCCATTACCCCATTGCCCCCCATTGCCCCATTGTCCCCATTGCCCCCATTACCCCATTGTCCCCATAATCCCATTGTCCCCATTACCCCCCATTGCCCCCATTGCCCCCATTACCCCCATTACCCCCCCATTGCCCCATTGCCCCCCTTGCAGACGATGCCCCCCGCTTCCGCCGCCGGGGGACCCTGACCTGGACCCCCGGGCCCGAGCTGGGGCTGAGCCTGGCGCAGAAGCAGCTCACGGAGGAGGAGCGCAACCAACTGCGGGTATGTGGGGCGCCCCATAGGGGTGATGGGGTAACCCCATAGGGGTGATGGGGTAACCCCATAGGGGTGATGGGGGTAACCCCATAGGGGTGATGGGGCCACCCCATAGGGGGTGAAGGGGGTAACCCCATAGGGGTGATGGGGGCGCCCCATAGGGGTGATGGGGGTAACCCCATAGGGGTATGTGGGGCGCCCCATAGGGGGTGAAGGGGGTAACCCCATAGGGGTGATGGGGGTAACCCATAGGGGGTAAAGGGGGTAACCCCATAGGGGGTGAAGGGGGTAACCCCATAGGGGTGATGGGGGTAACCCCATGGGGGTGATGGGGGCGCCCCATAGGGGGTGATGGGGGTAACCCCATAGGGGTGATGGGGGCGCCCCATAGGGGTGATGGGGGTAACCCCATAGGGGTGATGGGGGCGCCCCATAGGGGTGATGGGGGTAACCCCATAGGGGGTGAAGGGGGTAACCCCATAGGGGTGATGGGGGCGCCCCATAGGGGTGATGGGGGTAACCCCATAGGGGTGATGGGGGCGCCCCATAGGGGGTGATGGGGGTAACCCCATAGGGGGTGATGGGGGTAACCCCATAGGGGTGATGGGGGCTCCCCATAGGGGTGATGGGGGTAACCCCATAGGGGTGATGGGGGCGCCCCATAGGGGTGATGGGGGTAACCCCATAGGGGTGATGGGGGCGCCCCATAGGGGGTGAAGGGGGTAACCCCATAGGGGTGGTGGGGGTAACCCCATAGGGGTGATGGGGGCGCCCCATAGGGGTGATGGGGTAACCCCATAGGGGTGATGGGGGTAACCCCATAGGGAGTAACCCCATAGGGGTGATGGGGGTAACCCCATAGGGGTGATGGGGGCGCCCCATAGGGGGTGAAGGGGGTAACCCCATAGGGGTGATGGGGGCGCCCCATAGGGGGTGATGGGGGTAACCCCATAGGGGTGATGGGGTAACCCCATAGGGGTGATGGGGGCGCCCCATAGGGGTGATGGGGGTAACCCCATAGGGGTGATGGGGTAACCCCATAGGGGTGATGGGGGCGCCCCATAGGGGTGATGGGGTAACCCCATAGGGGTGATGGGGGTAACCCCATAGGGGTGATGGGGGCGCCCCATAGGGGTGATGGGGGTAACCCCATAGGGGTGATGGGGGCGCCCCATAGGGGGTGAAGGGGGTAACCCCATAGGGGGTGAAGGGGGTAACCCCATAGGGGTGATGGGGGGCGCCCATAGGGGTGATGGGGGTAACCCCATAGGGGTGATGGGGGCGCCCCATAGGGGGTGAAGGGGGTAACCCCATAGGGGGTGAAGGGGGTAACCCCATAGGGGTGATGGGGGCGCCCCATAGGGGTGATGGGGGTAACCCCATAGGGGTGATGGGGGCGCCCCATAGGGGTGATGGGGGTAACCCATAGGGGGTGATGGGGGTAACCCCATAGGGGTGATGGGGGTAACCCCATAGGGGGTGATGGGGGTAACCCCATAGGGGTGATGGGGGCGCCCCATAGGGGGTGATGGGGGTAACCCCATAGGGGTATGTGGGGCGCCCCATAGGGGTGATGGGGGTAACCCCATAGGGGGTGAAGGGGGTAACCCCATAGGGGTGATGGGGGCGCCCCATAGGGGGTGAAGGGGGTAACCCCATAGGGGTGAAGGGGGTAACCCCATAGGGGTGATGGGGCCGCCCCATAGGGGGTAATGGGGGTAACCCCATAGGGGTGATGGGGGCGCCCCATAGGGGGTGAAGGGGGTAACCCCATAGGGGTGATGGGGGTAACCCCATAGGGAGTGAAGGGGGTAACCCCATAGGGAGTGAAGGGGGTAACCCCATAGGGGTGATGGGGGCGCCCCATAGGGGGTGATGGGGGTAACCCCATAGGGGTGAAGGGGGCGCCCCATAGGGGTGATGGGGGTAACCCCATAGGGGGTGATGGGGGCGCCCCATAGGGGTGATGTTGGTTATGGGGTGCCCCATAGGGGTGATGTTGGTTATGGGGTGCCCCATAGGGGTGATGGTGGTTATGGGGTGCCCCATAGGGGTGATGTTGGTTATGGGGTGCCCCATAGGGGTGATGTTGGTTATGGGGTGACCCATAGGGGTGATGTTGGTTATGGGCTGCCCCATAGGGGTGATGATGGTTATGGGGTGCCCCATAGGGGTGATGTTGGTTATGGGGTGCCCCATAGGGGTGATGTTGGTTATGGGGTGCCCCATAGGGGTGATGTTGGTTATGGGGTGCCCCATAGGGGTGATGATGGTTATGGGGTGCCCCATAGGGGTGACGTTGGTTATGGGGTGCCCCATAGGGGTGATGTTGGTTATGGGGTGCCCCATAGGGGTGATGGTGGTTATGGGGTGACCCATAGGGGTGATGTTGGTTATGGGCTGACCCATAGGGGTGATGTTGGTTATGGGGTGCCCCATAGGGGGTGATGCTTTTGGGGTGACGTGGTTATGGGGTGCCCCATAGGGGGTGATGCTTTTGGGGTGACGTGGTTATGGGGTGCCCCATAGGGGGTGATGCTAAGGGTGATGTGGTTGTGGGGTGCCCCATAGGGGTGACGTGGTTATGGGGTGCCCCATAGGGGTGATGTTGGTTATGGGGTGACCCATAGGGGTGATGGTGGTTATGGGGTGACCCATAGGGGTGATGTTGGTTATGGGGTGCCCCATAGGGGTGATGTTGGTTATGGGGTGCCCCATAGGGGTGATGTTGGTTATGGGGTGCCCCATAGGGGTGATGTTGGTTATGGGCTGACCCATAGGGGTGATGTTGGTTATGGGGTGACCCATAGGGGTGATGATGGTTATGGGGTGCCCCATAGTGGTGATGATGGTTATGGGGTGCCCCATAGGGGTGATGTTGGTTATGGGGTGACCCATAGGGGTGATGTTGGTTATGGGGCTGGCCCCATAGCGGCCATGGGGTGAGGGGGTCCCGCTGCTCGCAGGAGGTGGCCGCCAGGGACGGGCTGTACCGCGTGCGCATCCCCAGGCGGGCGCCGGGACCCGGCGAGGACCCCGCGGGCTCCCACGTGACCTCCTTCGTGCGCGCGGTCAGTTGGGGGGCGCTGGTGGGAGCGGGGACCCACATCCTGTACCCCACATCCCATAGCCCATATAACCCATATATCCCATATATCCCATATATCCTGTATCCCATACCCCATATATCCTGTATCCCACATCCCATATCCCACATCCCATATATCCCGTATATCTCACATCCCATACCCCATATCCCACATCCCATATCCCACATCCCATATCCTACATCCCATATCCCTTATCCCATATATCCCATATATCCCGTATCTCATATCCTATATCCCGTATCCTACATCCCATATCCTGTATCCCATATATCCCACATCCCATATATCCCATATCCCACATCCCATATCCCACATCCCATATCCCATATCCCATATCCCACATCCCACATCCCATATCCCATATATCCCATATCCCACATCCCATATCCCACATCCCATATCCCACATCCCATATCCCATATATCCCATATCCCACATCCCATATCCCACATCCCATATCCCATATATCCCATATCCCACATCCCATATCCCATATATCCCACATCTCACATCCCATATATCCCATATCCCACATCCCGTATCCTTGTCTCCCCTATCCCCTATTTTATGTATTCCATATCTCTTATGCCCTCATCCATGCGCCGCGCTCTCCCATCACCTTCACATCCCCTATGCTGTATCCCGCTAGATAACACACGTATCCAGGCTATATTCCCACGTGTGCGTGCACATACGTGTTACATGTGAGATAACACACGTGTGCGTGCACGTGTTACATGTGAGATAACACACGTGTGCGTGCACATACGTGTTACATGTGAGATAACACACGTGTGTGTGCACATACGTGTTACATGTGAGATAACACACGTGTGCGTGCACATACGTTACATGTGATATAACATGTGTGCGTGTACACACGTTACACATGAGATAACACATGTGTGCATGCACGTGTTACATGTGAGATAACACACGTGTGCATGCACGTGTTACATGTGAGAACACACGTGTGCGTGCACGTGTTACATGTGAGATAACACACGTGTGCGTGCACATACGTGTTACATGTGAGATAACACACGTGTGCGTGCACATACGTGTTACATGTGAGATAACACACGTGTGCGTGCACGTGTTACATGTGAGATAACACACGTGTGCGTGCACATACGTGTTACATGAGAACACACGTGTGCACGTACATGTTACATGTGAGATAACACCTGTGTGTGCCCCCACACCCCCCATGTTACATGTGAGATAACACCCCATGCCCCCACATACCCCACACCCCCCATGTGAGATAACACACATGTGTGTGCACATCCCCCATGTGAGATAACACACATGTGTACACCATACATGTGACACATCCCCCATCCCCCATCCCCCATCCCCCATCCCCCAATATCCCATCCCCCATCTCCCATGCCCCATCCCCCATCCCCCCCACCCCCATACCCCCCCATCCCCCAATGTGAGATCCCCCCCCATCACCCCCCCCATCCCCCACCCCCCATCACCCCACATGTCCCCCATATCCCCCACACCCCCCATCCCCCCATCCCCCACCCCCCACCCCCCATCCCCCAATCCCCCCCATCCCCCAATCGCCGCACCCCCATCCCCCCATTTCCCCCCCATCCCCCCCCCCCCCCCCCCCCCCCATCCCCCCCACCCCCCACCCCCCCAATCCCCCCCTCCCCCCATCCCCCCCCCCCCACACCCCCATCCCCCCCACACCCCCCATGCCCCCCCACACCCCCCATACCCCCCATCCCCCACACCCCCCCACACCCCCATACCCCCACACCCCCCACACACCCCCCCTCTCCCCATCTCCCCCTCCCACCCCCCATACACCCCCCACCCCCCCCATATCCCCCCATAACCCCATATCCCCCCCCCCCCCCCATCCCCATCCCCCCCCCACACCCCCATGACCCCCACCCCCATATCCATAATCCCCCCATCCCCCACCCCCCCATCTCCTCCCCCCACACCCCCCCCCCCCCCCCCAATCCCCCCCCATACCCCCCACCCCCCCCCACCCCCCATCCCCCCATGCCCCCACCCCCACCCCCTACCCCCCCCCCCCACCCCCCACCCCATCCTCCCTCTCCCCACACCCCCCATACACCATATAACCCCCATCCCCCCTATACCCCCATACCCCCACACCCCCCCCCCCCCCATCCCCCACACCCCCCCATTCCCCATCCCCCATCCCCCACACCCCCCACCCCCCATCCCCCCCATCCCCCCCATACCCCCCACACCCCCCATCCCCCCCCCCCCATACCCCCATCCCCCCCACACCCCCCATCCCCCCACCCCCCACAACCCCCATACCCCCCACACCCCCATACATATACCCCCCATCCCCCCATACCCCCATCACCCCCCCCCCCACACCCCCATCCCCCCCCCCCCCATAATAACCCCACACCCCCCACACCCCCCATACCCCCATACCCCCATACCCCCCACACCCCCCATAACCCCCCACACCCCCCACACCCCCCACACCCCTATACCCCCCATCCCCCCCACACCCCCACATCCCCCATACCCCCTTCCCCCCCCACACCCCCCACACTCCCCACACCACCCACACCCCCCATACCCCCCACACCCCCACACCCCCCATCCCCCCCATCCCCCCCACACCCCCATACCCCCATACCCCCTATACACCCCCCCATATACCCCCCATTGTCCCCATCCCCCCCACACCCATTGCCCATACCCCCCCACACCCCCCCATGCCCCCATCCCCCCCCACCCCCCATAACCCCCATACCCCCACACCCCCCCCCCCCATACCCCCCATCCCCCCCCCCCACCCCCCCCCATCCCCCCCACACCCCCATTTCCCCCCCACCCCCCCATCCCCATCCCCCCCACCCCCATACCCCTATACCCCCCCTCCCCCCATACCCCCATCCCCCCCACCCCCACACCCCCACGCCCACACCCCCATACCCCCCATCCCCCCCATCCCCCCCACACCCCCCATACCCCCTACACCCCCCATACCTCCCACACCCCCCCACCCCCCCACACCCCCATCCCCCCCACACCCCCCACACCCCCCATACCCCCCACACCCCTATACCCCCCCATACCCCCTATA